ATGCAGAGACGGGCCAAAACAGTGTCCCAGCAGCGTGACAGTCCCTGATAACCCCAAGCACCCAAATTAGTGTGGATGTTGTGGAGCTTGTTTGCTCCAACAGCATCCCACCTGCATTGCCATCTCGAGCAGATGGCAGTTCTTATTACTGGCTTCATATCAGAGACAGGTAGAGGGGAAAGATGTGCCACAGGGCAAGAAGCAGCTGCCTTTGCTACAACATCAGCATGCTTATTCCCCTTCTCCCCTACAGGGGCCGGAACCCAGCAAACACTGACGTTCTGGCCCCAACGTTGAATGAGAACAGACACTCTAAAATAGTATTACCAAGGGAAGGGGAGATGAGACGCTAGCTAAGGACTGGAGCGCACAGCGAGAATCACTAAAAGTTGTAAAATCACTATGAGGTTATGTAAAAATAATCTTGAGGGCAAGTAAAATACCTGAAATCTCTGCCAAAAAATAGATGCCGTAGAGGGGAGACTACTGTCCAGACAGAAGTCGGGAAAGACTACCCCAAACCCAACCTCTGCATCCGACTTAGAGCCGTCGGTGTAAACAGGGATATTTTCTCTGTGAGAGGAGGCATGCCATAAATAAAGGTGAATGAATCACACAGGAAAGGAGTAAGTCCTTCCAGTTGTTAAAATACTGACAAACATGAATTTTAGGGAGAATCCACAGAGGCACTAGGAAACTGCATAGAGCATATCTGAACAAGAGAAAGACAAAGAAGACTCACAACCTCCCTTACCCTGAAGCCAAAAGGTCATGGGAGAAGTGGATGTTGAGTGTAGTGTGGGGATATAGTCTCATCATTACAGACTGCGGAAGGCGACGGAGGCGAAACCAACACTGGACCTTCAGATACTGCCCAAGCTGTGGAATCCAGAACAGTACTGGGCTTCAAAATAGCCCTGACAAAATTATCAGGAACAATAGAGGGAACCTACACAGACCAATGGTACGGCCACTTCTAGTGGGTGGCCATTCGGTAAATAAGGTAAGGTAAGTATTCCCAGAGTTGCCAGGTTAGCGGTTTTCACACAAAACTTGGCTAGTTTTGAGTAAAGTTGGAGGTCAAATTTTGACCAAGGTGGATTGGCAGTCATTTAGATGTGTTCTACTCAAGTTGGAGTTTTTTAGGTCTGGTTCTTAAGTAAAGTGTGATTTATAATAGATGCATAAGCAGGAACAGAAGGGTGTCATTTTTTATAAAGTTTTGAATGATAACATTCAGTTAATGTACTGACATGACAGTCACCTAAGGTTGACTTTGACTGTCACTCAGTAATCTAAGGACCCCTCCCCCACTACCCCTCTGTATGTGAGAATTGCGATGTCATTGGCAAGGCGTTTAGCAACAATTGGTGGCTGTACCTGGCTGGCCGTGACCGTCATGATGTGGAGATGACATAGAAACTGTGTATACGTAGTGTTAGGTTGTTACGAGATTATATCTCAAAATAGTATTTATGCCTACTGCCATGGATATTATTGAGAGTAATAAAAGTGGTTAAAAACTCTGCTACAATAGGTTTATGTATACCAAGCGTACCACTCACAAAATCAAGTTGTGGTGGAAATGTATATATTGTTTTGTCAATCTTTGGACATCATTTATTATCAATTAACAACCACCTTAAATTGCTCTGGGTTTATACTTTACTTATTAATGGTCACTAAAAAAAATGTAAATGTTTTCCGTCAAATTGAATTTTTTCTGTTACTTTTTTCTTGTGACCATATTTCCATTCACTCAAAGTCTGACACCCCCCCCCCCCAAACACATTAAATCCTGAATCTGCCCCAGTAGATAGTTGTAAAAAATGTCAGGAAAGGTATGGATTGAAGTACAATACTACATCTGAGTGGTTTTATTAATAAATTGAAGTACAAATCTCTACAGTAACATTGTAAAGATCCATGAGTTTCAATTTATCATTTTATGTTGAAACATACATTCCCACACAACTAAAACACTTTTCTTCCTCCAATTTGTCTCTTTTCCAAACTGCTATTCATTTGCCTGTCTCCTTTTACTACACCTTTCCTTCTTCTCTCTAATTCTGCGATGGACTATGAAGAGCATTATGACAATAAAGTGACTTACATGTAAGACAGGCTTGCCTAGTATTTGTTTTTATAATTTGCCTTTTGCCCACACTACACCCCTCCTGTTATAGTACAAAATTTTTCAGTAGTTCAATAGTATATAAAAATGTTCTTCCAAATCACACAACAAAGCAGTGTCCTTTACATACAACAACTAGCTTACCTCTAATTTGCACTCCTCTTCCTTATCAATCAAACTAAAACTGTTATTTGTCACTCTGGCTATCATGTTTCTTACTACTCCATCCACATAAATGATGAAAAACCATGGCAACATTACACATCTTAGGCAAAGCCTCACTTTCACTGCTAACAAGTGCCCCTCTTCCAAGCATCCTTCATTCTCTTAAAATATAATCAGATATTGCACAACAATTTATTTTTAATCCCACAAATTTTCAAAACTTTTCATTTCCTTTTTCCATCATATACTTTTTATATACAGTATACATAAATAACATAAACAAGCACCTCCCTTTCTTCAAATACTTTTAATTCATACTCCTTATACAAACACTTGACTCACATAATCTTCTTTTTCAGAGCCTACACGTATGGTCCCCTAATACACTTTGTTTGATCCGCTATTCTCTCAATAATGAATCTTCCATGCACTTTTCCAGGTATACTTTATACATTTATTCTTCTATTAATTTTTGCACTCATTCTTCTCACCTTTCCCTTTGTACAAGAGAGAATAAATGCTTCCTATCATCTCTTAAATATCAATTCCATGGTAGTCTACAACCCTGTAACCTTTCATCTTTTTTCACTTATGGATCTACTTTATAACTGTCTTATCTCCAATGATAAAGCAAACTAATTTACTAGAAGCATTTAAATAATTCTTAAGACTACTTCTATGATAAAACAGAACACTTGCATTCCCAAGCAAAACATCACACATTCCCTCTCTCTTAAATTTGTTTTTTTATTTGATCTCCCTCCAGCTTTATGATGCTAGAGACATAAGCTGCACTAGTTTCAAACTAAAGCAATAAAGTCTTTCAAAATAAAATTTTTAACCCAGCAAACAATTAATGAATATTAACACTCAAACACAACATACTGTACAATCTCATATTTGTATTAGCTAATTTTTGGACTCTTCCTTCACTTTCCTGACAAACACTTACCCCAATTTAATCACTCTTTACAAAACTAAAAGGTAACCTTCTCACAATGTTGAGGCTAAATCTTTCATATGGATAAATTATCCTAAAATCCCTTTTTTCAGATAGAAGTCAAAGCTAGGCAGCTCTCATGGCAACCCTAACATAGGTTTAGGTTAATATTTTAATCCCATGGATATACTGTTTAATATACTTATTTCCCTTTATTGTCAGTTCCAAGTGAGGATATGATAAAATGGTTGCTCTGAGGGGCCTAAGGCTTCATCAAAACCATGTTTGCCCAGTCAGCACTCTGACCCCTATGAATCTCAATAATCCTAGACTATGTAAAGCTGCCACACCTTCATTTCCACCTGATTAATCACGAACCCAAGGGATGCTGGGGCATTACCAGATTGCCTGGCTTTGGGTTCCATAAAAAAAAAAAAGTGATTTAAAAATCAACTTTCCATTTCTGGATATAGGCCTTAAGCCAGGCAGCTGTCATACTAAAATGCCACCTAAAACAAAAGGGAAGAGAAGATGATACAAATTCCAGAATTGAACGGACAAACACCCTTCTAAGAGTTGACCCATTGTATACAATGGATTGGGAGTACAGAATCCCCATATCCTCTTACCAAATAGGTTTGTTGTTATCTCAGAGCCTCTATCAGAAGTAGAAATACATCTTGCCTCAGAAAACTCCCTGAAATCTCCAGAGACAAGTAGAGATGATTAATCCTGGATATCAAAATAAGCATGTCACTTTCCAGTAATGGATAAAGTGAGCGCAACAAGCAGGTTTGTCTAACCTAGCATCGGTGGTTTCGAGCCATGAGCTTGGCCCATGCGCCAGCAAACTCAAAGTCATCCACCTGGGATGGAACCTGACCCTGTTTTAAGTTGTATTATAAATAAAAATCGAAATTGAGGTAGTGTTTGACAAAGAAAAGGTCAACAAGCTCCAGTACTAATGCCATTCACACATGGCATGCTTGCACAAATTTGTCAACAGTGGCAATAATGGAAGCAAACACCAAACAAGCTAATATAATGCAACACAATATTTATCTTTGTATAAAAACCTAAACCTGCAATATAGTTGACAAATCCCTAACTATCATAAACAGAGTCATTATCTAGGCTTTTGAATAATTAAAAAGACCAGGAGAGTCAATAATTAATTGTCCCATCAAACTGTCAGTTTCACCAGAAGATGTGGCAGTTTGACTTATCCAGGGTTTGCTCAGCTTCACAGGGATTTGTAGGGGGTGGAGCCATTCTTCTGGCATAATGGATGTGGATTGGGCAGGTATGGCTTTTACATGAGCTCCATCACCTTGAAACAAACTGTTGCATTGTGTCTCTCTCATTTGTGCCCGGTGATACAAGAAGAATGAAAGGTTAATCAAAGTATCTATGGGATCAACAGATTTAACCCAGGCTTATTTTAGGTGGTACTTTATAATGACCCATAGATCTCCTAGTAAGTTGCCTGTATTACAAGACCTGCTTGGTTTACAGATGATAGCCAGAAAACCTACTCTGTACTGGAAATCTCATTCTACACCATGTAAATGTTTCTGACATAATCAAAACGTACAAAATAAAAGTAATGTACAACACCTGAAACCTTTGTTATGTATTTGCAGAAGAATTTTTAAGGCATATTTTTCTAAAGTTCGAAATCTTAAGAAGAGTGCAATACATAAATCAAAGAAATATATAATTGGCCTACATACACTTACAATACCATGAAAAAACACTTACCGAGGCAAATGAGACTGGAGAGAGGGACATTCCTTCAATAGTGGCACGTAATTCATCAACACTGGCAGACATCGGGGCATTGCCATTGCTGATTGGCTTGATCTCTACATGAATCTTTTTGTCTGCTTCTCCATCTGCATTGGTAGAGATATTAACAAATTACAGTACCATTAACAATCCATAATTCCACGACGGATTGTGCTCCCGCAAAAATTTATGAAGTACATTGTTACAGTATATTCCTGTTATCATTAATCTTAATATTTATTAAATTTGCATAATTTTTTCTAATCATTGATAGTTTAACTCTTTGGCTGTGGATTTCAGTAAATTTATTTGGCACCATGTGCATAATTACAGTGACCCCTCGGTTAACAAACTCAATCCGTTCCAGAAGGTCATTCGTTAACCGAAAAGTTCGTTAACCGAAACCATTGTTTCAATGGGTTTTTGGGTAATTAGTTCCAGCTCACCGAAATTTTCCTAAATTCAACAAAAATGGTAGAAAAGTTCACTTACTTTGAGGTGTGTATGTAGAAGGCTCCTGAATGATGATGATGATGGGAATTAGAATGGGGGTGGAGGAGAAGGAAGAAGAGAAGGCATTGGGGTGGAAGAGAAGTCACCCCATGGCACCATTTCACCCATAAAATTTTAGTTCTCTTGGTGTATTTCAAGATTATTTTCTTTAAATCAACACTGCACTGCATTATATATTGTCAATATGTAAAATATATTTCAAAATGACCAATAATTTGCTTGGAAACACAGAAAAAAAGCGTTTAGTTGAAGAGGGTCTCAAGCAAGATGTTACCTCCGCTGAAAACAGAGAGAGACTAACGCCTGTCTGGTGTGTTAACAGGCTGGATGGTGCGCCAGAAACTAGTTTCTTTACCTTCAATTATGTTCAATAATTGTTAAAATGACTAAAAAAGTTAATATTAAACTTTTAAAATTATTGAATAGTATAAACTTCTTGATATTAACTAAAATAGTAAGGAATTTAAGCCCTAGAACCGATTAATGTATTGGCGGACTGATACTAAAGCTGGTTGCCCGGTCAGTGCAAGCGAAAACATGTTGAGGTCGGTTTGTAAGAAATTCGTTAACCGTATTGAAGATCCTTATGGAAGGCAGTTCGTTAACCGAAATATCGTTAACCGAGGCGTTCGTTAAACGAGGGGTCACTGTATCACCAAAAAAATTAAATAAAATTCATCTTACAAAAATAATGATATGCATAGAGGTTAATGAGAAACGATAACATAAATTCTTCATCTAGTTTGGTTAAGTCATAGTGACGAGCTCCTGTACTGCATGAAATGGATGGTTTTGGGTCACTTGGAGATGGAGACAAATATACAGTACTTCCCCCATAACAACTGTATGTATGTGCACTGTAGCCTATGGGAGAGTCTATGAATACATAACTTGGCATGAAATTTTAAAAATTAATGCCAAAATCTTAGCAGCCTGTTGGCTTATCAGAGCCTCTATAGCAGAACTATCTGCTGGCTTTTTGTAGCTGAAGTGTTAAATGTTATAACAAACCATCATACCCAGTATACAAGTATTTCTTGAGTTACTGAAGCTCTAGTTATAGAAATTTGCATTCACACAATCCAAAAAGCATGGAGTAAGTTTTGAGATATGCAAGAAAAATTTTGAGTTAATTGAAAATCTTACACAAGAGTTCATGTAAAAAAATAAAATAAAAATAGAAACCTTGCCAACCTCCAACATTTCACTAAACACAAAAATATAAGAACCAAATCTCTTACAAAATAGTCAGTTTCTACTGCATATCTAATTACACTAACCTGAATCAGAATCAGAAGATGAATCAAAGCTGTTATCCTCTCCTGAACGTTTTGTCTCTTGAGGTCGTACTGTAAATCCCTCGTCATCAACATTCGTAGTGTGACCACTTGTACTTCCCTTTTCTGTTGCCACTGACGTTACTGAAGGAGTTATTAGTTCACTTGTCTTTGGTCCTGAGTCATCATTGGTTTCACTGAAAGGAGACATGGGATAAGTAAATGCTTACCTTAACCCTCTCATGGTCTTTTAACACAATTTGTGTCGCTAACCCCTCCTGCTCAGCTGTATCTCACACTGAGAGCAGCCCTCCCATAAGCAGAAATGCAGGAACCACCACCTAAGTTCCTCCTACTAGCCTCATGGGCTGGCAGATGCATATCTAAAGGTGCAATTTGGGTCTGGATTGCTCTACCCAATGTTCATTAAAATGGAAAAACCATTCCTGCTACTACGAAAGACTGTGAGGGATGAGATTTCTGACCATGGCAAAGAGTACTAAAGGGATAAGGTTCCTCTCTGCTTCATATGTCTGGCAGCCACAAATCTCAATTATGCTAAAGCATGTACACTCATAGATGTATAATATATTTGTTTTGTTTTTTCTTGTTTTGTCAATTTTACTTTATTTTACTGATTTAATTTCAGACTTTCATTTATGCATTGATTATAATGAAAGATTTACAGTATATGGTGTAGAAAATATTTTAATCATCAAAATGTAGAGTAGAGCTATACCATATTGTTCGCCAAAACTTTTCAAATTAGAAGTCATTTCAGAAAAAGAAACACTCGAGACGGATTTATTAAAAACTAAATTATTTTTTTATTTAAAGCATGTAAGCAATGATATTTTCTTTAGTTTGTTATTTCAGAAAGAGAGAGAGAGAGAGAGAGAGAGAGAGAGAGAGAGAGAGAGAGAGAGAGAGAGAGAGAGAGAGAGAGAGAGAGAGAGAGAGAGAGAGAGAGAGAGAGAGAGAGAGAGAGAGAGAGAGAGAGAGAGAGAGAGAGAGAGAGAGAGAGAGAGAGAGAGAGAGAGAGAGAGAGAGAGAGAGAGAGAGAGAGAGAGAGAGAGAGAGAGAGAGAGAGAGAGAGAGAGAGAGAGAGAGAGAGAGAGAGAGAGAGAGAGAGAGAGAGAGAGAGAGAGAGAGAGAGAGAGAGAGAGAGAGAGAGAGAGAGAGAGAGAGAGAGAGAGAGAGAGAGAGAGAGAGAGAGAGAGAGAGAGAGAGAGAGAGAGAGAGAGAGAGAGAGAGAGAGAGAGAGAGAGAGAGAGAGAGAGAGAGAGAGAGAGAGAGAGAGAGAGAGAGAGAGAGAGAGAGAGAGAGAGAGAGAGAGAGAGAGAGAGAGAGAGAGAGAGAGAGAGAGAGAGAGAGAGAGAGAGAGAGAGAGAGAGAGAGAGAGAGAGAGAGAGAGAGAGAGAGAGAGAGAGAGAGAGAGAGAGAGAGAGAGAGAGAGAGAGAGAGAGAGAGAGAGAGAGAGAGAGAGAGAGAGAGAGAGAGAGAGAGAGAGAGAGAGAGAGAGAGAGAGAGAGAGAGAGAGAGAGAGAGAGAGAGAGAGAGAGAGAGAGAGAGAGAGAGAGAGAGAGAGAGAGAGAGAGAGAGAGAGAGAGAGAGAGAGAGAGAGAGAGAGAGAGAGAGAGAGAGAGAGAGAGAGAGAGAGAGAGAGAGAGAGAGAGAGAGAGAGAGAGAGAGAGAGAGAGAGAGAGAGAGAGAGAGAGAGAGAGAGAGAGAGAGAGAGAGAGAGAGAGAGAGAGAGAGAGAGATCCTTATGTAGTCAAAAACTCATGTCAAAATCACAGATCCAAACAAAAACAAACCATACAACCTCTTATGGTCGCTGCATGACAGAAGAACTGCCCTTGCGGCAAAAGAGCTGGCTTGGTATAACATAGACATAGCAGCCATTAGTGAGTCCCGCCATTGTGAGGCAACTCCACGATGGTATGAACGGCAGTGACCTGCACAACGGCACCCAGTCTGAGTTCTTCCCCATCCAAGCAGGGGTTAAAAAAGGGTGTGTACTGGCACCAACTCTCTTTTCCATCTTTTTGGCTGCCTTCCTTACTCGTGCCAGTTCCAATTTAGCCGACAGGCTGGACATCAAGTATCGGGTGAAGGGGGGTCTATTGTACATAAGATGACTCCAGGCAAGAACAAAGGTGTCGGCAGCTTCCATTACTGAACTTCAGTATGCAGAAGATCTCACCCTTGTTGCTCACACTGAACACGACCTACAGGAGATCCTGAACACCTACGCAGGTGCACACTTCAGCCTTGAGGTGAATGTACGTAAGACTCAGATTCTCTTTCAACCTGCCGCTGGTTCAGACACACCTCCACCGTTCATCCAGTTTAACAGTACTACCCTCACTAACGTTACCCAAATTCGGTATTTCGGCTCCCATCTGTCCACCATCGCAGACATTGATGAAGAGATTCAGCATCGGATCAGGTGTGCATCTCAAGCCTTTGGCAGACTCCGAAACCGTGTCTTCAGCTGTAGGGAGCTGAAATGATCTACAAAGTTGCACGTATATCAAGCAGTGGTCCTCCCCACCCTACTATATGGCAGAGAGACATGGGTCACAGACAGGAGACACCTCAAGGCACTTGAAAACTTTCACCAACGTAGCCTACGTTCCATCCTCCGAGTTTGCTGGGAAGACAAGAGAACAAATGCCCTTATTCTTGCTGACACCAACTGGAGGAGCATCGAGGCTACCATTATCCATGAACAACTACGCAGGATTGGCCATGTTACCTGCATGGACGACAGTAGACTGCCAAAGCAGCTACTTTCCAGTCACTTAACGAATAGTAAACGTAAAGCGGGCAACTGAAAAGGTATAAGGATAGTCTTAAGACAAATCTGAAACAGTGCCAAATTGACCCCCTCACCTGGAGTCGATTACTCCACATCGTAACACTTGGAGGAGAACCACACGAGAAGGTGTCAATACTTTTGAGTTACCCCGACTGCAAACAGAGGCCGTAACCTAGCTCTCGATGCTGCGCATAGGAGGAACGAGAACGACAAGAGAAGGGCATATGGGGAGAGAATTCAAAATGTTGATCAAGGCAGCTTCACTCCTCTAGTGTTCACAACCTCTGGTGGGATGGGCCCAAGTGCAAGATGTTTCTACGCCAGACTCGCGGAGCTGATCTCCGAACAGAAGCAGCAGCCCAGAAGTTATGTCACAGCCTGGATGAGATGTCGACTGTCCTTCTCTCTCCTTCGGTCGGCTTTGCTCTGCCTCAGGGGAACGAGAGCTTCTGCCCCTACTCCGACAACTGCTGCAGATATTGACTATGAGGCTACAGTCACTGAATGCCGCATGGATCTGTGGCTCAACTAATTTAACACAGATAGGATAGCTTCTTATGTATTAGGATATTTAATATTAAGGTAAATAAATGGTGGCGAAGGTGTGGCTATTGGGGGAGGCTGGAGGCCACGTTCAAAAAAAAAAAAAAAAAAAAAGTAGTAGTAGTAGTAGCTTTGACGTCCTGCCGCCTCATTCCCCTGGATAAGAATCCAGGATGTAGGCCAATAGGAGTGGGGGAAGTGCTTAGGCGAATCATCGGAAAATGCATAATGGAGGTGGTAAAGGACGATGTCAGGGCAGCAGCAGGGAACCTGCAAGTTTGTGCAGGCCAACAAGCTGGAGGGGAAGCTGCCATTCACGCCATGAGAACGATATTTAAGCAACGTGATTGTAAGGCCGTTCTCCTGGTCGACGCTTCAAATGCATTCAACATACTTAACCGCAAGGCCGCACTGCACAACATCAAGATCAAGTGTCCAAGCTTTGCAATGTACGTTGAAAACTCCTATAGGAATCCATCAGACCTTTATATAGTAAACAACAAGGCCCTACGAGGTGATACCATCTTACAGTCAACCGAGGGAACAACACAGGGGGACCCTGTTGCAGTGGCAATGTATGCAATAGGTCTATCAGTGCTCCAACAAGAAATAAAATTTGAAACAACTGGGGTCAAACAAGTGGCGTATGCTGACGACCTTACAGGAGCAGGAAAAGTGGAGGGCATGAAAAAGTGGTGGGACTTGGTAACATCGCGAGGTCCACAAATAGGGTACCACCCAAATGCCAGCAAGTCCTTCCTCATCGTGAAGCCAGAACATTATGAACAGACAAAGGAGGTTTTTGGCGGAAGTGAGGTCAAAGTAATTAAGCACGGCCAAAGACATCTAGGCGCAGTAATTGGCACTACGGACTTTAAGACCGAGTAAGTAGCGGGAAAGGTGAATGAGTGGGTTAGTGAAATCCAAGCTCTGTCTGAGATTGCTAACACAGAGCCACATGTGGCTTTTGCTGCATTCACCCATGGAGTCAAGCATCGTTGGAACTACCTGATGCGTACTATCCCTGATATCGGACTCCTCCTCCACCCTTTGGAAGAAGCTATCAGTGTCAAGTTCATTCCCAAATTAGTGAAACACTCACTTAACCCCAGCAGAAAGAGCACTTCTTGCACTTCCATCAAGACTGGGAGGGATGGGACTAACCAATCCAGAGGAGATTGCAGCCACCGAACATCAAAATTCACTTAAGCTCACGGCAGCCCTCACGGACCACATAATAGCCCAGAACGCAACAGGGGAGGTCGAGACCAGTGAAGTAAACGAGATTCGTAGGTTCATTACAACAGATCGACAGCACTGCCAAAATGATAAGTTGCAGCAACTGTTGCTGCAGGTCCCAGAAAATTTGAAAAAAAAAGTAGCTATAGCGCAGGAGGTGGGTGCCTCGAACTGGTTAACTACGTTACCGATAAGGGCAAATGGTTTCAGTCTTAACAAACAAGAATTTACAGATGCCATTGCTCTAAGGTACGGTCGGCCAGTTGAAGGTTTGCCCTCCCAATGCGTGTGTGGCTCTTCCTATGACGGCGATCACGCCATGGTGTGCCAAGAAAGGGGGCTTCATATGCATAAGGCATGACGAAGTAAGGGACCTTACAGCAAATATGCTGAAGGAAATCTGCCGGGATGTCATGGTAGAACCGACCCTCCTTCCATTGGATGGTGAGATCTTCCAACATAGGACTTCAAACACATCTAACGAAGCCCGTGTTGACGTCAGTGCTCGAGGATTCTGGACGTGGGGACAGCGAGCTTTCTTCGACATCAGGATTTTTGATCCCATGGCCGCATGTCACCGTAACCTAGCTCTCGATGCTGCACATAGGAGAAACGAGAACGACAAGATAAGGGCATACGGAGAGAGAATCCAAAACGTTGATCAAGGCAGCTTCACTCCTCTAGTGTTCACAACCTCTGGTGGGATGGGACCAAGTGCAAGATGTTTCTACGCCAGACTCGCAGAGGTGATCTCCGAACAGAAGTAGCAGCCCAGAAGTTTCGTTACAGCCTGGATGAGATGTCGACTATCTTTCTCTCTCCTTCGGTCGGCTTTGCTCTGCCTCAGGGGAACGAGAGCTTCTGCCCCAACTCCGACAACTGCCGCAGATATTGACTATGAGGCTACTGTCACTGAATGCCGCATAGACCTGCGGCTCAACTAATTTAACACAGATAGGAAAGCTACTTATGTATTAGGATATTTAATATTAAGGTAATTAAATGGTGGCGAAAGAAGTAGTAGTAGTGTGTGTGTGTGTGTGTGCAGGTTTGTGTGGGTGTGTGCAGGTTTGTGTGGGTGGGTGCAGGTTTGTGTGGGTGCATGCAAGTTTGTGTGGGTGTGTGCAGGTTTGTGTGGGTGTGTGCAGGTTTGTGTGGGTGTGTGCAGATTTGTGTGGGTGTGTGCAGGTTTGTGTGGTGTGTGCAGTTTGGGGGTGTGTCCAAATTTGTGTGTCCAAATTTGTGTGGGTGTGTGTGGGTACATGCAAGTTTGTGTTTGTGTGTGGGTGCAGGTTTGTGTGGGTGTGCAGGTTTGTGTGCAGGTTTGTGTGGGTGTGTGCAGGTTTGTGTGGTGTGCAGGTTTGTGTGGGTGTGTGCAGGTTTGTGTGGGTGTGTGCAGGTTTGTGTGGGTGGTGCAGGTTTGTGTGTGTGCAGGTGTGGTGTGTAGTGCAGGTTTGTGTGGGTGTGCAGGTTGTGTGGGTGCATGCAAGTTTGTGTGGGTGTGTGCAAGTTTGTGTAGTGTGTCCAACTTTGTGTGGGTATGTGCAACTTTGTGTGGGTATGTGCAACTTTGTGTTGGTATGTACAACTGTGTGGGTATGTGCAAATTTGTGTGGGTATGTGCAAATTTGTGTGGGTATGTGCAACTTTGTGTGGGTGTGTGGAAGATAAACTGCCTGGGTTTCAGGAATCTTCAGCTTTCTGAGATCCGGCTTAGAGGGTCTACACCTGGAGATAGCATTAAAGAACTAACTGCATCCAATGAAAGGACTACTTGCATCAAGAATGAAGCATCATAACATTTAAACATAGAGGAAAGATCTTAAAAAAAAAATGAAAGATGACCATAAAAGATGATGATGATGATGATAAGTGTTCAACTGAAGCGAGAGAAATGTGTGGGGATCTGGTGCAAGCTAAGTTCCAATAAAAGTTATTGCAATAGTTCTACAAAAAACAATAATTCAATATAAATATAGACAAATATGTATATTAATTATAAAGATAAAGGAATGACTTTGACTTATTTCTTACTTGTCTGATTTTTCTTCTTTATTACTAGAAGAATCTGCATCTTTTTTTTTCTTGACTTTTTTCTCTTTGTTTTTTCTATCTCTTCTACTTCTAAGAAACCCTGAAAAAAAAAGTCTTAATTACAAAGTGTAAAACTATCACATAACATACTGAACATAAAATCAGGATTTATAACAGAAAGCAACTGAAGCCTAGATATCTTTTAAGGACAAGAGGAATTTACTTGAAGTGTTGAAAATCAATCACTCAGAATATTTTAATATACAGTATAGAGAAAATTTAATCAATCACTCAGAATATTTAAATACCTAGAGAAAATTTAATCAATCACTCAGAATATTTAAATATCTAGAGAAAATTTATCATAAATGTTAAAATTGCTACATTACCAAGACATGGTTTTATTGCAAGACCATTATTCTAATAACCCAAAACCTTCTAAACTACAGTATATTCAGTCTTTATACATAGTTTCATATGAGTCACTGATTAATGACTATCTCAGAACAGTATTTCTAAATAGAGTAATAACCAATCTAGACAAATGAACCATACCGTAATGATATCTACCAGTAAGTTTGTTATATTTGGAAAATGGTCTTCCACAAATTCAACAATAGATTCTTTCATTACAGTATTTACAGTCTCTTAGCACTAAAAAGTTCTTTCCTAAGCTGTTTAATTTTCATTAAACAAAAATATCCACAACAGCTTCCCACAATGGTAGAGTGGGGGGGGCAACAGGCCTCTACACTCTACAGTCACCATACTATTCCTATTGAACCACTGTATCACTTTTTCTTCATCACACTGTCTCACCTTTGGTGATTTTTGTACACCCAGCTTTATTTATATAGATGAAGTTGTAACCATGAAACCTATTCCTAATAAATTTGTCTTCAGCTACATACTCAGTAATTTTCCTTTTCCTTGACTACATTACTTCCCTCTAAAACAGTATCATAATTTATACTCTCCACCATATTCAATTACAAACATCTGTAAATCAAGTTTTCAATCAATGTACACTTCTCAATTTAATCTAATAAGAAATTTGCTTATATCAGATATTTATCAATTTTCACAATCTTTTCATTCACAGATACTTTGCTGTACAGTACTTCTCATTCTAGGTCTTCCTTCTAAAAGACAACCACACTTACTTTTATATTAAATACTCGTTCAACCGTTTATACTAAAAAACCCTTTAAACTCCAATACCCCTGCTTAACAACTCATGCAAACACTGCAACTGGACATGTTACTTTTACTAATCTCAAATAACTTCTCCCTATTTCTAATTAAACCTCACCTATCCATCAATAACTGACAAATAACATAATACAATACATATAACTATTTCAGTACAGTATTGAGAAATTTTTTACCACACATTATAGTGCATTTTTTCCCAGCTGAGGAAACATGCCCCACCCCCTCCTCAATAGTTACTGTTGATTGGCTGTTGCAAATCTGTCCGATTTCGACTTGATGTAATGATGTATTCCTAAATGAGTTTATTCATAATCGTTGGAATGACTGTTTCTGACGAAAAAGATATTTAGCTAAATTATATACAGATACATACATTCATTATTTCAAACAGGAACATGTAGGAAGTTTATCAGAAATCTTATACAGTCAACCCTCGCTTTACGCGGTCCCACTTTACGCGTTTCCACGTTTACGCGGTACCCTGCCGAAACCGGAAAGCTCACTTTCCGCGGTGTGTGTACCCTTTTACGTGGAGAGCGGCGCGAGCAGGGTGCGCACAAGGTCGCCCAGTCATCAAAACATTACTGAGTTCTTCACCCGCCACCCACCACAGCCGGCCCAAGTCAGTGATAGTGATAATGATGATATGGACTTATATGGACTTTGAGGGGTTTGACAAAGAGGCCCTGTAAGCCTCTGTGGTGGATAGTGATACAATTGACACAAGTGATACAGGTGAGGGCCAATAATCTGCCCTCTGCCTCTGAACCAACCCCCCATCCCTGTGTGCCCAGCCATCTTTTCTACTAATGTAAGTGTTAAAAAACCTAATATTATTGATATTTCTCTTAATTATTAATTGTGTGTGCATACCATCATAAGATTAAGAAGTTATTTTTACTGTTAAACCCTGGTAACAAGTTCACGCTTTCGGAGGATGCATTTAATAAATACTTATTTTTACCCACAATAAGGCATACTAAGGCAAATTATGTATTAGTAATACTACATTATGCAAAAACTAACATTTTAAAAGATCATAATTACACTAAAATATGAAGTGGTTCACAGTTTTGTTTCCCCTCCTCTGCTGATGGCTGTTCGCTCGAGCAGCCAAGTCTGTCAAACTCATTCACCATTTTTCAGGGGCCATGTAATATTTTAGTGTGATTCTGATCTTTTAAAATGTTAGTTTATGCATAATGTAGTTTTACTGATACGTAATTTGTCTTAGTATGCCTTATTAAGGGTAAAAATAAGTATATATTAAATGCGTCCTCCGAAAGCGTGAACTTATTACCAGAGTTTAACAGTTAATTCATGTACAGTATAAGATTTCTGATAAACTTCCTAAGTGCTCCTGTTTGAAATAATGAATGTATGTATCTTTATATAGTTTAGCTAAATATCTTTCTCGTCAGAAACGGTCATTCCAACGATTATGAATAAACTCATTTAGAAATACATCATCACTTCAGGATGAAATCGAACAGATTTGCAACAGCCAATCAGCTGAAACTCTTGAGAAGGGGGCAGGGCATCTTTTCTCAGCTGAGAAAAAATGCACTATAGTCAAGATCTGAACTTTTGGATAATTTGGCTATTGTTACTTTTGGCCAGAGCTACAGTACCTTTCTGTACATATTGTACTGGATTTAATAACTAGCAATCATGAGAGAGGGAGATGCCAAATTCCATTATTAAGCTCACATTCTCACAAAATATCATCAAATATGACAAAATAACACTAAATTAATCTATGACCAAAGATAAATAGACTTTGAGGTAACCTTGCCTTGTTGACAAACCTGTGAGATTCATGCATGATTTAACAATTAAACATAAGCAAGTCAAATCCTTAATGAAAAAGGGACAATGAACTTAACATGCAGACTGTCCAAAATTAAAATGGACTGTACTGAAACAAACTCAGTATACAGCCACCCTGTGCACTTAAGGGGAGCATCCAGCTGAAAATATAGTGATATCTCTGTTAGCTGGAACAATTGGTGTAGAGCACTTCCGGGAATGAGAGATTTCCGGGTAATGAGACGAATCTCTCAATGCGGGGAAAGAATCCCTCATCCCCGGAATTTTCCAGGTACCGGAAAAATATTCTCCGAAGTTCCAGAAATTGTGCATTACATTATCTCTCTAACCCGGAAAAATATCTCCCATCCCTGGAATTTTCCAGGTACCGGAATAATTTTCTCAGAATTTCCGGAAAATGACCCTGATATTCATCTCTCAAACACGGAATAAAAATCCCACATCCCTGGAATTTTCCAGGTAACAGGAAAATTTTCTCAGAATTTTCCAGAAAATGTGCCCCTTGGAAAATCGTTCCCAAAGCCGGAATTTTCCGGAAAATTCCGGCTTTGGGATTGATTTTCCGAGAAAATTTAAATTCCGGTTATTGGAGAGTTCCAGGTTTGAGGGATTTTATATAATGAAAATCAGAAAATTACGAAAATGTTCAGAAATATTCATGAGGAAAGCTGTTGCCTATGGCTATCAGCTGACATATTTTGATTGCATAATTCATAATATTTATGAAGCTAGGCATAATTGTTTTACCCCCTACATTTAGAAGGCCCTTCTGTTTAATTAGAAAAATCTGTAGAAAAGCATTTATTATAATATTTTGGTGTAAAGTAATATCAACCACCAGGTAAAAATCCTTTCTCAGCTAGCTTGCAGCAAGAGAAGAATTTGAGGCTGCTTGTATACCTCAATTTTACCCATGAAAGAAGCGAGAGTGAGGTGTGATCGTGAGTTGCTCTTGCGCCACCTTTATTGACCAGTATCTCAAAACGAGTTTTTCTAACCTTCAAATCCTTAAGGCTCGGCCATTTATGGGCCGAACATAAAGATTTTCTTTATATTTGGCTTGGTTTATTATTTGCTGATTTTCTTTACAAATATTTGGAGGAAAAAATGGTAAGTTAGGAAACAAATTCATGCACCCAAAATGAAAGCGACAATCAGAAATATCTACAGTATATGTCACATTCAAGATGAGTAAATTACCTATACACAAATGAATTTCAGCATACAGTAATCTAGCAAGAAGTTATGGAGAGGTAGGATTTTTAAAATTTATAAGAATATAAGGGAAAATTCAGGTATCAGGGATTAGGTAGAACCGATACAGGGGCATAGCAACAATGTATCTGGTGTCCTTAATTGCTGACAAGAAATTGATATTGATTGATCAATTATTAACGAATTTCGTGCTTCAGCCAGACGCTCCCCTTAAGCCAGTTTCATCTGATATAATCCTTGGGTTGAAGTCTAGTCTTGTGACAAGAACCCCAAATAAGTGGACTGAGGCAAAATATTTTGTTGGATTATTAAGCCAAAAAATCCAGTACTTAGGTGAGACACACCAATTATGTTAACCAGATCTCAGAGGAGTTTAACAAATACAGTACATCTAAACCCATAACACAATCATGAAATACAAACTTGCTTTACTTACATATGATATCTGATCAGTGGTAAACCCTTGCTAACCATTCCTGACATCTCAACATTAAAGCAAGAAGCTTAACTTTTGTAGTAAAATAGAGATTATCAGGGCACAGAAAATTAAACATGACAATCAACTATCAGAGTCAGATAGGAATTGGTATGTTACAGGCAAGTGAAACTGGATTTATGCAAAGACAAGGCAACTGCCACATATTGCTCACTCAATTGAGATATACATACTATCCTGGGTGTGAAGGAAGGATGATCAATTAAATACAGTAAGTCCTCATTTAACGTTGCCCCCGACAACGCTGTTTCATTATAACGTTGCTACTCTTTAGATACCCATGATTCGGACAACGTCCAGCCAATTCGTCACCCTCTCTCACTCAGTCAGAGCGGGAGGAGTCA